GACACAGACACACACACACACACACACACACACACACACACACAGACAGACAGACAGACAGACACGGAGATCAGACAGAGTACCAAAGAGAATCTGCGACTGATTTCCAAACTTAACTAAACCATTTAGCTGGACTCTCACAACATCAATACTACAAAGAGCTTAGCTTTCAATCACCAATCTGACCAAAACTTAAAAGATGTAATCTAGTTAAGGGGAGCTGGAATGTGTCTCATCCTGGTACATTTTAAATGTGTGTGTGACAGATGAGAAGCCAGACAGACAAGAAGAGGTGAAATGAGAGACAGATGAGAGAGGCAGTCGGCTAGAGTACGGATCCCAACTGTTAACTGCTAATGGTACTTCCCAGATCACCTCTCTTAAAACCCTGATCCCAAATGATGACCCTGACCTATCAGAATGCCTGCTTCATATGATACATGGGAGACAGTGGGGTAAGATGTCACCATATAAAAAAAAAAAAAAAAAAGGTCTATCATTACACAGCTGTCTGTGCCTGTCAGAAACAAACACACAAAAAGGACAAAGATAGACAGACAGATCAGCATCAGGCATTTTAGTCTAATTAAAGTAAAATAAAAAGCACACTCTCCCCCATGTGTTTGAAAATATGAAATGCATATGGAAAGTAAAGGAATACTAGCCACTGCAATCACTCCATAGACACCAACCCAAATAGTTAAAAGTGCCTTAAAGTAAAAAAGTATTTTTTCTGCCAAACTACTTCAACTTGGGCTGAGATTAAGAAAAGGCTGTGATGGCCATTATTTGTGTCATATTTTAAAATGGATGAAGTCAGGTATGCATAAACAGCACTATCTGTTATCACAGTCAAGATTACTGGATGTTACCACCAATCATTCTTAGAAAGCACTGCATGGTACCAAGTGCAAAACTCAGACACATAAGTCTTCATTAATTTAATGAATCAGTTCATAACTGTAGTAGTTCATAAATTTCCTGCAATTCCAAATTGGAACAGAATAAACTCGTTATCTCAAAAATTTCCACAACCAAATCAGACGATTCCTAAATGAGAGCCAAAGCAAGGCCAGTATCAGAACATCCATCTGCCAAAATACACTCATTAATGAAATAAACAAGCAGTGAACAGATTCATCTGTCTTGAACTGGGTGATACTCAGGCAATCAGAGACAATCTCTCAGACAATTATAACAGTTTGTCCTTTCAATGTAAAATATCTTAATCGTAACAGGCACATCCAAAGTGAAGAGTGCAAAAGCCTGTGAGGAAGCGAGGAATTTGGAGAGAGACAGAAAGAGAAAAGGAGAGAGAAAAAGAGTAAAATAAAGGGTGCTCTGTGGTTCCACAGGGTCTGATTCACAAGACGGAATAATCTAGCGTGGGCTAGTGGGGTGTGAGATGCAGTCGTCTGCGCTTATCCTGTTTGCTTTGGCCCAGCTGCATTGAAAATACCTGTCATTAAATGTCAAAGAGCACCGATCCACCCCCTTGCAATGCCATTCAACATACATGCTTGCGCCACTTGTCTAAACTCGGCACTCCGAGACAAATCAACTTCCTGTAATTGAAACCAGTAAAGGCCCCAGCACAAAGCCGAGAGGCACACCTGCCTGCAGGAATCTACCAAAGGTTTCAGGTGTTCCCAAATTAGCTAATCTACTCACCATTAAAGGAAAATAGACTTTGATGTCTATGAAAACATCAGGGAGGCAGGAAATCCCAAATGACTGGAAATCAAAATGGAAATCAAAAACCCACCCTACTAATGTCATCTTTGACCCTGAATTAAACAAGTGTTCTGTATTGCCAAGTGGAATTAGAGAAAATTGTACATTGGTGAAAAGATATTCATGGTGTGTTGGAATTCGACAGTCCCAGAGGTAACATGTAATTTTCTCTTTGATAATGGCAGTTTAACCATTTTCATTGGGGGCCAATGTATTGAACAATCAGACAGGACCAGAGGGGCTCAAAGACATTAAGTATGAATAAAACTAGTGGTGGGAATGTTAAATTGGAGTCAATAACTAAAAAAGTACAACGTCAAACTTCATTCATATTTTCCTGCCAAGTTGTATGTTATAAATACTCTTAAAAAAATCAATAAACGGGTTACTTTGCTATTAAAATTATAAAGTGAACATACAAACGGTTTCAAACACTATGTTTTTTCTAACATTTCTATGGATAGTTCTGGTTAAAACACAAATCTAGTTGGCTTTTGAAAGCATGCAGGCCATAGGTGTATTTTTACGGCAGAATAATAAACCACTATGGCCTCATCTCGGCTGGAAATCAAGGGTGTCCGCATCCACTGTTTAGACAGGACATCGACTCCCTCTGTCTCTGCTGGACACATTCTCCAACAAATATACACACACATTATGCAACTTTCCTGCTGGAAAAACCCAGGTAAGCTAGTAGCCAGCCACCATGTTCCATAAACCAGCTTAAACTGGTAGGACTTTGGATTTGTTTATGGTCCTAGACGGTATACAATGGTCTACAAACACAATTAACAGCTAAAGCTGATTTTTCTAGTTGGACGCCTCTCTCAGCCTTAAAAATGCATGCAAAATATTAAGTATGCAAATAATTAGAAAGGTAATTGTGCAAAGATATGCACACATACTGTACACAATGTACACATACTGCATCCCATCCTTTGTCATAAGCAATCAAAGCACTGAATGTGCTCTCCAGAGCTGGCATGTGTGCGGTTTGAAGGGCTCTTCACTAAAGTTACCACTGAATAGGGGGTTAGACGATCACATTACCCTATTGGATTTGGCCACATTGTACGTGCAACTTGGACAAAAGCTGATACTAAATGGAAATCTGACAAAAACAAACTCTATATAAGCACACACTGTAAACCACAATAAGTTGACATATACACAAACCTTCATGCACAAACCGTAATTAATCAAAATTACTATGTTGCTCTGTCAGAAGCACACACTAACGGACCATTTTAAATCTTCGATCAGGTCTTTCAAAACCTGAAAGCAAACGTTGACAGATTCTATTAGTGCTTAAACCAGGCAAACTGAGTCTGAGTGTTTATCATTCAATCCCACGTGGTAACTTCCTCTGGTGATTGACAGGATGGATTAACTATGCCTGGGTGCACTAATCAGCGGTGCTGTGAAACAGCAGAGTTTGGCTGCTCATGCCTGCCAGTGATAATGTTGGCCTATGAATGTTAATACCATCCATTGTGATGGTAAATATGAGATGAGAACAATTCAGACATGGTCATTCACCCTCGGCCTGGCCCTTTGGCTTTAGGGACTACATACTAACGCCTGAGCCAAGCCGACTTTATCCACGTTCACACACACACACACACACACACACACACACACACACAGTCATCTGCAAGAAGAATAATGTTTTTGCCTTTTCTCCCAAAAAACGAAATATTCCACTTGCAATTAATTCAAATATGCTTTTATTATAAGCCAAGCCAGTCACTCAAAAAGTCGAATGTCAACTTGTGTATATAAACAATCTAATTGTAAACGCTCTATCAAAGTTCCTCTAGTCAGTTTGTGGTTTGAATGTGTAGAGCATAAAGATTCAAAGTCCCAGTGGACCAGATACAGCTGGAGTCCCATCTAATGCCTGTTGTTTTTGAAAGAGAGAGAAAAATAGAAGGAGAAAAAAAGCAAGAGAGACATCTAATTCAAACAGGGCTTGCAAAAACAGCAATTCTCAGTTTGTCTCAAGGCATGGGGAATGGAGGTATTCACAAGGCCTTCGAGTGTCCAGTATGGAAAACACACACTCTAATATCCCATCATCCCCGTGTTCCACTCTCAGCATGGAACATCTACATGGACTGAGGGAAATTTAGGAAAGACTATCTGAAAACACAAAGAACTTAAATAAACGAACGTTGGCATAAATTCTGAATGTGTAGAAAATTTGTCACTCAGTTGGAGGAATAACATATTATTCAGAGCACATCACACACTAATGTACTGGAAAATATTACTTTAAAACATTCCAAACTTCATCTTCATCTCTTATACTGTGAGGAACATAGGCTGCTCAGGTTTTACTGATTTCTGGAGTTATAAGTCAAATCTCCATGACTAGTAAGACAAATACCTTTAGTATTCAAAGTGCCACAAATAGTGAAACTTTCAAAGAAACATCCCACACATTCTTTATAGAGTGGGTCCAAAAGCTTGAGACAACATTGAAAATCTGGAATTCAAAATCAGATAATAAATAGCAACTTCCAGGACGTATTAGGAATCATATCTTACATTGTGCTCTATTTCTAGGTCACTAATCAAATAAGCAAATCTGTGGCATTGATCATGTGAACTCTTATGATCAGATGGTCAGATGTGCTTGCTTCCATTGAGCACAAGGTGCTAATTGGATCATTCCAATTTATGTTACAGAACATGATCATCAGGTTTTACACAAACTTGTGGAAATCGTGCAGCTCAAGTGCTGCTGCCAATAAAGCAAAATAGGTATAAACCAAATACTGACATTCTGAAGTTCATGTTTTTTCACTTAAAATTTTTACTCAGATGTTAACTGATAATATAATTTTAAATGAAAATGCAATTAGATGATCACTTTTAGAATAAAAATAATTGAATTTGGAAAAAAAATGTATAATATTCTAATATATGTTGTAAATATAATTAAAACGGTAGCTTTTCAACAGATTTTAAGCAGCACTGTATACATTACAATATAATGAACTAAGATATTTGACTAAGATGTCGGACAGGAATTGCCTGACAGGTTCGGTTTAAAAAAAAAATTGAAATAGAGCAGATCACACACACAGTTTCCAGTATGCAGTGTTACAAGAGCAGCA